TTGAGAATTGTATGTAGGAAGGCCTCTGCTAGGCTAGAAACCGGTCTTAACCAGAATTTGCTGATACGATAGTTACTCTAGAGCAGAGGTAGGCAACCTTGGCTCTTTTATGACTCGTGGACTTCAACTCCCAGAACTGGCTCAGGAGTCATAAAAGAGCCAAGGTTGCCTCCCCCTGCTCTACAGAAAACCTACCTAGCAACTAGTAGCCATAAAAGGTAATTTGTAAATAAGGGCAGAGGGAGATAGAATTCGAACAATGAGAGATGTAATCAGGGGCGGGGAATAATGTATTCGCTTTAGGCGCTTTGGATAGGTTGGGATGGTCCCTGCGAAACCCCAAAGGAGAGACGAGGGCTAGATGGTCCTGGAGAAAAGTTATGGATGTGGTCACTAAGAGAAGAAAACAACTCTTAATTAAAACATCTTAGAAATGCCAGAGACAGAGTGAGCATATTTTCAGCCTTACGTCACTAGGTGGAGCTCTAACACAACACTAGCGACTGGAAAACAGTCAATCTAACACAGGGATGTCAATTTCATTGAGGGCCGCACCAGCATTGCGTTTGCCTGTGGGGAGGCAGGTGGGTGTGGCCTACTAGGTGAGTGTGGGTGGAGTGGGTGTGGCCTATTGGGGGGGCATGGCCAGCTCTACATCGTTTGCATCAAGGGTGCCTGTGGGGGCCTGGGCAGGAGTGGGTCAGATCTGAGGGTCTCTGGCAGAAAGGGGTGGGACCGGGGCAAGTGCCAAGCCATGGCCACTGGAGGAGCCTCAGTGCCTGCTGAAACCCCTCCGCCGAGTCCATCAAGCGGGATATGTGAAGTAGGTGAGGGCCATTTGCTGGCCACTTCCAGGCGATGGTGCATTTCTTCATTCCTCATAAAGGGTGACACTTCCCCAGCATGCACCCAGGGGGCGGGGCCAACACGGCAGGGGCTGGTTCCTCGCTGTTTCCAGACGGCCTTGTGGAGCTAAGACTAAATGCGTTTCAGCATAGATGGCCACCACAAAATTGTACATTGACTCCCGGCCAGCCTAGGCCAGGGCCCAGGCAGTAGGGGCCGTTCCCTCACTGTTTCCAGGGTGGCTTCGCGGGCCACATGAAACCACTTCGCGTGCCGCATCTGGCCCCCGGGCCTTGCGGGCCATGTCTGATCTAACAGCAGGATCGGCGGTGAATGAGTTGCGACATCCAACTGGAGGGAGAGGAGCTGAGGTGAAAGGCTTTAAAAGCATAGAGTATTGCTAGAAAGGATGTCGATGAGAGGAGAAGGGCAGAGGAACTTCCTCTTCCGGTTTATCCATGGAAGGATGGAGGGGGGGGCAGTCGTGCTCTTCCCAGGGTCGAAGCAGCAGCTGGAAGGTGAGTTGAGAGTTCGGAGGAGAAACCAGGAGCAAATAGAGCTGCCTTGTTTCCTCCGGGGTGTAAAAGCAGAGAAGCAACTAGGCTGAAACATGTCGGCTGCTTCTGTATAATGTTTTCTTTCCAAACATTATTACATTTACGCTGTATGATTTAAAACTTCTGCCTCTAGTTTTCTGCTGGGAGATGGGAGAAACTAAAATTTAAAGGCCTGAAGACTAAACATACGAAGTAAGGTTGCAGGATTTGGGTATGGCCAGTCTAGAGAAAAGAATGATTGGGGAGGGACATGATATTAGTATTCCAGTATTTGAGGGACTGTCACAAAGAGGAGGGGGTCAATTTATTTTCTAAAGCACCAGAAGGCAAGAGAAGAAACAATGGATGGAAAGTAATCAAGGAGAGAAGCAACCTGGAATTAAGGAGAAACTTCCTAACAGTGAGGAATAATAATAGAATAGAATAGAATATAAGAATAGAATAGAATAGAATAGAATAGAATAGAGCTGGAAGGGACCTAGGAGGTCTTCTAGTCCAGCCCCCTGCTCAAACAGGAGAACCTATAGCATCTCAGACAAGTTATTATCCTCTTTTTAAAAATCTTCAGTGATGGAGCACCCACGATTTCTGGGGGCAAGCTATTCACTGTCAGGAAGTTTCTCCTTCGTTCCAGGTTGCTTCTCTCTTTGATCACTTTTTTCTGATATGGTGACCAAAATTGGCTGCGGTATTTCAGGTGTCTTACTAAGGGTTTATGAAAGCGGTACTAATATATCGTGTAATCTTGATTCTATGCCTCTGTTTATACAACCCAGGATTAGTTAATGCTGCACACTGCTGGCTCATGGTTAAGTGATCGTCCATCAGGACTCCAAGGTCCCTCTCATAGTTATTCTTTTTAAGCCAGGTTTTGCCCAATCTCTACTTGTACCTTTGATTTTTCCTGCCTANTTTTGCTGCTTTCACTTGTCTTGCAAATATTTGTTAAACAATAATGAAACTGACCCGTTAATATGAATCTTACAGACAAAGAGGATGCCAAGAAGAACACTCTGGACCACAGAGAATGAGAAGCAGCATTAAAATGCAAGACAAAGCATCAATCAAAAGCTTTTCTGCTTCCTCCAGAAATTTTGAAAACTCTTCTCCTTTCTCACCTGGTGAGAGACAAGGGAGAGAATAACAAGAACAAAGTTTTGAGCTGGAAAAAATAGAGCATGTGCAACTCAAGGGAACATGACGTAAGAAGTCAAGGGAGATAATATCGAAATTTATAAAAAAGTGGACATAACTGGAAGTCAGTGGGAAGGAAGGTTCCTTGGATAGCCAAAATGAACAGGCATTAATTAAACCCTTTCAGGAAGCCTTGACTTGACTCAAAGAACCTCCAAGTAGGAGATCAGAAACATTTTTGGCCTCCTCAAGAATCCAAGGATATCAGTGTTGAAAAACCCCCGCAGACTGCCTAATGTGGGAAAAATAGAGGTTGCGGATCACAGCTGATTATGCAGGAGATGATCCACCCAGTGAAAGTGGCACAAATGTTTGGAGTGCGGCAAAAACTTTACTTAGAGTAACTCCCTTATGGTTCATAGAAGGACCCATACTGGAGAGAAGCTCTACCAGACGATCCAGTGTGACAAAGATTTAGCATGCACACTAATATTGTAAGACACAAGAGGACTCATGCAGGACAGAAACCATATGAGTGCCCAGATTGTGGGAAACGTTTCAGTTGGAATTCCCTCCTGATGATACACCAGAGGACTCACACGGGGGAGAAACCCTATGAGTGTCCAGAGTGTGGGAAAAGTTTCAGTCGGAATTCCAACCTGATCGCACACCAGAGGACTCACACGGGAGAGAAACCCTATGAGTGTCCAGAGTGTGGGAAAAGTTTCAGTCGGAATTCCACCCTGGTGACACACCAGTGGACTCACACGGGAGAGAAACTCTATGAGTGTCCAGATTGTGGGAAAGATTTTTCTTCGAAATCTGCCCTGGTGAACCATCAGAGGACTCACACAGGAGAGAAACCATATAAATGTCATTGTGAGAAAAGTTTTTATCAGAATTCCAACCTGGTGACACACCAGAGGACTCACACGGGAGAGAAACCCTATGAGTGTCCAGAGTGTGGGAAAAGTTTCAGTCAGAATTCGAAACTGGTGACACACCAGTGGACTCACACAGGAGAAAAACCCTATGAGTGTTCGGATTGTGGGAAAGATTTTTCTTCGAAATCTTCCCTGGTGAACCATCAGAGGACTCACACAGGAGAGAAACCATATAAATGTCATTGTGGGAAAAGTTTTAGTCAGAATTCCTACCTTGTGGAACACCAGAGGACTCACACAGGAGAGAAACCCTATGAGTGTCCAGAGTGTGGGAAAGATTTCTCTTGGAAATCTGACCTGGTTAGACATCAGAGGACTCACACAGGAGAGAAACCCTATGAGTGTCCAGAGTGTGGGAAAGATTTCTCTTGGAAATCTGCCCTGGTGAACCATCAGAGGACTCACACAGGAGAGAAACCATATAAATGTCATTGTGGGAAAAGTTTTAGTCAGAATTCCTACCTTGTGGAACACCAGAGGACTCACACAGGAGAGAAACCCTATGAGTGTCCATATTGTGGGAAAGGTTTCTCTTGGAAATTTGAACTGGTGAGACACCAGAGGACTCACACGGGAGAGAAACCCTATGAATGTCCATATTGTGGGAAAGGTTTCTCTTGGAAATCTGCCCTGGTTAGACATCAGAGGATTCACACAGGAGAGAAACCATATAAATGTCATTGTGGGAAAAGTTTTAGTCAGAATTCCTACCTTGTGGAACACCAGAGGACTCACACGGGAGAGAAACCCTATGAGTGTCCAGAGTGTGGGAAAAGTTTCAGTCGGAATTCCAGCCTGATGACACACCAGAGGACTCACACAGGAGAAAAACACTATGAGTGTCCAGATTGTGGGAAAGATTTTTCTTCGAAATCTGACCTGGTTAGACATCAGAGGACTCACACAGGAGAGAAACCATATAAATGTCATTGTGGGAAAAGTTTTAGTCAGAATTCCTACCTGGTGCAACACCAGAGGACTCACACAGGAGAGAAACCCTATGAGTGTCCAGAGTGTGGGAAAGGTTTCAGTCAGCATTCCAGACTGGTGACACACCAGTGGACTCACACAGGAGAAAAACCCTATGAGTGTTCGGATTGTGAGAAAGATTTCTCTTCGAAATCTGCCCTGGTGAACCATCAGAGGACTCACACAGGAGAGAAACCATATAAATGTCGTCACTGTGGGGAAAGTTTTAGTCAGCATTACTACCTGGTGAAACACCAGAGGACTCACACGGGAGAGAAACTCTATGAGTGTCCAGATTGTAGGAAAGATTTCTCTTGGAAATGTGACCTGGTTAGACATCAGAGGACTCACACAGGAGAGAAACCATATAAATGTTGTCATTGTGGGGAAACTTTTAGTGAAAATTACTGCCTGGTGAAACACCAGAAGACTCACACGGGAGAGAAACTCTATGAGTGTCCATATTGTGGGAAAGGTTTCTCTTGGAAATCTGACCTGGTTACACACCAGAGGACTCACACAGAAGAGAAACCATGAGTGCCCAGATTGTGGAAGAGATTTCAGTAGTAGGTATAGACTTTTAAATCATGTAAAGTTAAACACAGCACAGTAACCATTCAAATGCCCAGATTATGGACAGTGTGTTGTAATAAATTCCTCTCTTATTACAGAAGAAATTCCACATGAGGAAAAATTTGATCTTGAATTTTGTTTCTTGTCACTTACTGGAAGCCTAGCTGCGAAATTATTAATTTCTTGCATGATTCTTTTTAGTCAAGCATGTTTTATTAAACATGAGGGA